AAAATTTCGAGGGGTTTGCCTGATTGATTGACCATTCCATATAATTTTCCACTGCCCTCAGACTCCCACAAGCAGTTATTAAATAATAAGCACGGGCGAAAAGCCCTCTGTTACAACCAATAAATTTACCACTTTTCTGGGTCTAACCCTAATTTGTTAATCGCCAAACGTGTTGTACAATTTAAGGGCGGTAGGAGGCGTGTCACTTGTAATGGCATTTAAGAAAAATTACGTCTCAAAACTGTAAATGGCCAAAAAACAAAGGCTAAGAAAAAAAAATTTGAAACAAGTCAAGTGCCCAAAACAACAACGAACACCCTTCATATACCTCTTTACATTTTTCATTTTGCTTTTCCTACGAGCTTTGCTTTTTTCCCTACTATTTTTTATTTGGGCAAAAAATGTTTTTATCTTGCGCCGCCATCTTTGTGCTAAACGGTAATTCAACAAAGGTAGAACGGCGGATTGGGGCCCAGAAAGGGGATGGGCAGGTGGTTTTCCACTAAGCCAAATCCGCCCCTTGAAGTGTTTATCCTTTGGTTTGGGCAGGGGAACGGTTTTTTGGGGCAGGACTGGCCTAAAGTGTTTTCAATTTAAGTTTAGAGAACAAAACGCCTTTTGATTTTTATTAGTCGACAATGGGGGTGGGACCAAAAAAAGGGAGCTAAACAAAAAAATCCCCACTTGGGAGTGGGGCAAATAATGTGAGCTGCCAAAATGCATTTCGCAGTCGGCCTACAAAAAAGATGTTGCCTTCTGTTTTGGCCAACTGCCATTCTGACTGAATTTATGGCCACTGGCCAGGGTTGTCGCCCTCATAAATTATGCAAATGCTAATGCAAATGCAAGGACGACGTGGGTGGAGTATTTAGGGCAAAGTAAAAGGAGACGGGCGCGCAACCTCGCCTCCTGTTCTGATTTTTTGATTTCTTGTTTTCCGTTTTTGGCAATCGCCTAAATGGAAGCCCACTTAAATAATTATCATTTCCCGGGCCAAAAACGCCCGCTCGTCAAAAGCTCATCAGGGGCCTCGACGATCGGACCAATTAGTGCAACGAGCCCACTGAGCGTTTTATTAATTAGCCAAGGAAAATCTCGATGGAAATTGGACTTGTACCCATACCCATACCATACCCATACCCATACTCACAACTATCCCTTCTGATGCGAACAAGAGTCCCATTAGTAGATGATGTTGATGGGGCCTCGTTGTTCGTTTTTCGGCTCTTCGGGCTTCCAGTCTTGTTTTCGGCCCCATCACTCACTCAATCTTTCACTTTTGGGCGAGAGAAATCTTCGGATCAGCACTCATCAATTCGTCCACGAAGAGCCTATCAGCTGCACTGAGAAAAATAGTTAGCGATGTAAAGCTAAGATAGTAAGTTCCACCGATAAAAAAAAATACATATGTTTTTGAAAACTCGGTTTGATCATTTTGAGCCACTAAATTAAGTAAGTTATTTGGTAAGAACCATGGACGGATTTTCGGAGGAAATTGAGGGTATAATTTGCGTAAAAAGTGAAAAGTGAATTATTAATTAAAGAATATTTAAAAAGTTTCTTTTGAAAAACCCTCACAACCAGTTCCTGGATTCTGGGATAAATAATAGTTACTTAAGCATTAAGGTAAGCACTCTTATATATTTAAATCTTTCTGGAAATATTTCCGACATAGGTATATTAATTCTCAAAGCTAAAACTCAATACAAAATATTTTGATGTGTTTTAAGATTGCTTTTAATTTCCTAAGCAAAATAACATAGCCTATCAAGTATTTTTGCAATATTTATGTTAAGAATGCTCAGAGACTTAAATTAATAAATATATTAGGGATATTAAGACGCTGCCTTACGATAACATATTTTGGACATAATTTCAATAGAAATGTCTTCTATATATAGCCATTTCCCGTTAACAATTTTACTCCAGTCAGCCTTAGTTTTTCGCCGTGCAGCCGTACCTGTTTCTATCTTCATTTTCCACTCGACACAATCACAATTAATCCATGGGTCTAGTAGTGCTCCCAGTAGTTCTGGCCCGACCCCTCGACGGCCCCTCGAAATGATGGCAATTACCAGAAGCGCTCGCGGTCAGCGCTGTCTAATGAGCGGCCATCGACTAGAGCGGATCACCTGAGATCACCTGGGATCACCCGGGATTGGGGGCCACAACTCAATTCATTCATCACCGATGGACTGATGATCGCTCTGGCAGGGAGGGGGTCCCTCTCGATCTCCAGGCCCCGAAAAAAAAAAAAATAGAAAACCGAAAACAGAAAACAGAAAGCCGAAAGCCGAAAAACGAAAACCGAATAAGGGAAACCTGACGGGGCGTGCCAATGGCGTTCTTATTAATTTGCCCAATTTCCACAAGCAGAGGAAAATGGGGAAAACTTAATTAAAATGTCGTAAACGAAAATTGTATGTTTAGGCACGCGGTTGGACTGAGCGGGGCAGGGAGCTACCAAAAATAATTAAGACATTTCGCTTCTCGTTCGACCTTTTTTCGTTCGTTTTTTTTTTTTTTCGGAGTTTGGGCTTGGGTTCACGAAAATGTTAAGAAAAATTGCTGCCACAAATTGTTTGGCTGCCCAATTTCCACAATATCTCGCCGCTCTCTTCACAATTTTCCCCGTTTCCCTGACTTGTGCTAGGTCTATGTTCTTTCTGGTTTTCGGGGCCGCGACCGAAAACAATAAAAATGACTAATGGCACCTAATTTCCCGTCGTCGTCGAGAAAAAGGGAGGAGGTGGCAAAGTAGGAGGATGAGGCCCAGCAAGACGGCCAATTCGAAGAGTTCCCATTTCGAATTGGATGCGCCTCAAAAGTAGTTCAATTGCCAAAAGACAAAAGGAAAAACACAGGCGTTTCCCGGATTGGGCGTGACCTGGGCAAAAACAAAAAAAAAAATAAATTCGGATAGGAAGACTTCACCTGTCGCTGCTCATTTCCCATGCACCATTTCCCATTTCCCATTTGCCGATGCCAGGTGCCCCGCACTTCCTCATGTCGCACTGACAAATTGTTGCAGTTTTTCATTGACCTCGACGTTATAAAATAGGACGGTGATATTAGTAAGTTATTATTATTGAATGGATTTTATTTAAATTTATTTAAAAAAATCTAATTTTCTGGAAATCTATTTCATTTCATCTTAATTTGGATAACTACAAGAAAAAAAAACGAAAAAGATATATTTAATCCCTTGTAGAGGGTATAATAATTACTGACAAAAGTTTGCAACGCAGTGAAGACCATATTTCCGAGCAGCATCACCAGACAATTCGATTTAGCTATTTTGAGTAAAAGTTGCAAAAATACTTATTTCTGTAGAAGGTAGTATAATTCAGGTAGTATAATTCAAAAGCCATTTTTTGTTATTTATTTTTATATTCAAGACCATACCATTTTCTGGATGTGCAAAAAAACATACTAATTAATTTAGTCGATGTTTTTGATATTTTTAATGGATACCGAATTGCTTTCTAGTTGTGATATTAAAAGGGATCCCCTTTAAAACAAAAAGTTATTGTGATTTTGTGTTAATTACAGTTATTTATATAAGCAGACCGATTCGTTTTAGCCTGATCATACAACTAAAAACCATTTTGAGTTCTGAATGCGTAAAGTTAATTTACGACATTAAACAAAAAAAAAATAATTAATTCCCGTTTAATAGAAATGTACTGAAAATAAAATTGCTTTGGATTCTGTATACTATTTTTATGGAATAAATGTAATGCCTGTTAACTGGCTTATTCCCAAGTTCCATCGGACAGCATCAAATCATGCATTGTTTAACGCTAATTTCCGGCAAGGACACTCCGTTTCGTTATTTATGCGCCTGGCAACCCACATTACATGTCCCATGTCCTGGCACACTCATTTGTTCATTCATTACATTCATTAACTTTGCGGCGAGCTTGCGCAGATAATGCAATTTTCCAAATGGCCGAATGGAAAAACAAGTTTTTCGGCCAGGCACCGTCGCGCACTTTATTCAATTTACCAATAAAATTTCAATCGAATTGCTCCTTTTAATCAATTCGCTGCCACCCACACACACACACACACACACAGAAACACACGCATTTACATACGCGCATGCATAATTCGTGTGTTTTTATGTTTTTTGATCAATTTTTAATCAACAACACAGTGGCAGCAACAACAAAATCAACAACATTATTTGCCTGCGGGCCAGCTTTTAATGTGTCTGTGTGTGTGTATAGGAGAATCTGTGTGTGTTGCCTGCTTGTAATTGTTGTTGCGGCTTGTTGATTATGCACGTAATTAAATTTGGCCAGCAATTTTGTGTATTTTGGCAAAATGCGAAATACTTAGTTAGTTGTGCGAGCAACCTCAATAGAGAGGATTTTTTTTTCGAGGGTTGTTTCCTATAGAATTCTTATTACACAATTTAATAAAGTCATCGTTCAATAAACAACAGTGTATACGATTAAAAAAATGTTAGCCATCTAGATTAAAATTTATTTAAATCTTATTTGAATGTATTAATTTGTATGCTCACAATTATCAAAATTAATTTTTTTGAATGCCATAACCAAAAACAAAGGTATGAATACTAAAAAGCTAGTTTCTCTTTGAGAAAATCAATACTTGAGATTCGATTAAATATTCTAAAAATAATAAATGTTTGTTCTGTATTTAGATCTTATGAACAAAATTATTATCTACAACGTAGTAAAATACAAAACATTCAAATCAACATTAAAAAAAATCACATTTTAAAATTAGCTTACAAAACTTTGTAACGAAATTTCTTTAATAAAATTATGATAAAGCAATATCAATGGATTTGTGTGCCGTTCAAAAGAAATCAACAGTTGAGATAAGCTCGCTCATAGCAAACTTTAAATAACTCAAGTTTAATATAGTCATTTATTGTATTTCATTTAAATATGGTCATATGGGTTTTATCTCATGAAAAGATTTTTAATCTCTTAAGTTAAAGAAGAATTAAGAATGAATTCACTTACCTTCGCGGGTGTTGTGCCGATTTAGTCCTAAATCTTTCTGTTCCCTCTTTAGCTGTCCTGCATTTTCAAGGGACTCTGATGGTTCCAATTTAATAGTTTGATTCTGATTCTGATTCTGATCTTCAGCCAGATCCCGATTTTGATATCTTTGCTGCTGAATTGCGGCTGCAGCGGCGGCTGCATTGGCGCGCTGCATCAGCGCCACCTGGCGGAGCATGTAGACAGAGGACGAACTGGTTCCGGATCTTGGGGAATCCCCCGTGGATTCGAGGGGCAGGCTGAGAAAGGGCGACCATCCGGGCACTCGCAGGTTGACGGCGGCTGCTGCCGCATAGAGTTGCAAGGCGGATGCCGCATGCGGATGCGGATGTTGGCGAGGATGCGGATGCGAATGCGGATAAGCGTTCATTGCACTGATATTTTCCTCCTGCGCCTGAGCAGCGGCTGCCAGCTGTAGCTGTTTGATCAGCTGATCCATTTAATGCTAACTTTTCAATTGTTCTATTTAATTCACTTGTCGGAATTCATTTTTTATTAACTTGAACTTTTTGACTTTAATATCAATGTTGTCTGTGATATTTAAAATAACTTTTAACACTTTATGGTTAATTTTTTTGTTTTATCTGAACTGCTGGTTGTTTTTGTGTAATCTTTATTGGTTCCCAGTTAAGTTTGTATCCACTTATCAGCCTTAAACTCAAGGAGTTGCCTTGTTTCGGATTAAGTCTTGACACTTGATTATTTCGTTTTAAACTTGCTTTCACCTTCAGGTCAGCATTGTCTTCTGTATTTTCTTTCAGTTAACTTCGTTTAACTTGGGTGCTCAATTCACAAGTCACAAACACATTCACACACACAGGAAAAAAAAACCCAGTATCCTTGAATCCGCACAGTGGAACATGTGGCGGGTGCACAGTGGAGCGGATCGACGGCCCACTGGGAAAATGGCTGAACTCTGTGCAGCGGCGGCGACAAACAAATTGATTCGAATTAAAATTACGCCGAGCGAGTTGTGGAGTTTTGTGGAGACAAAAGTGCAAAAGTGGCAAGTCGGTGCGAGTGGGATGGCGCGATAGGCGCGTTTAAATGAAAAATATGGAGTTCGTTTTGTCTTCTTCGTGTTTGGCTTAATAAGAATATGCATATGTATGGGTTAAAAGGGGGGCCACAGTAAACACAAAAAAAAAAAAATGAGCATGGGAAAAAAGTGTCACCACAGTTGGTTGGCTGGTCGGGGTTTGAGTCCGTGCTAAAAAGTGAGATGGCGACACCTGCTGCTGCTGCAGCAACAGCAACAGCAACAACAACTATTGCAGCAGAAAGCAGCAACAACAAAACTCATTTTCAACACTTGACGGTCAGCTGTTGTTGTTGTTTTTGGGTCGCATGCGCGACTGCAAGCAAAAATCATTAACGTTCAAATTTATGTGCGCCAAAGCGAGAAATAACAAAACGAAAAGCGAAAGAGCAGAAAAGCCCGAAGAAGCAGCGACGTCAACGACGGCAGCGCAGTTGGGGCAATAAAAAGAAAAATGGTTTCACTTAACAAACATGCCAAGGCGCCGTCCGCAAAAATCCACCACCCACTCACCATTCTCCCAAAAAGAAGAAAAAAGAAACACCCGCGCTTAACCCCCCCGCAGCCACATTTAACCCCTCGCTGGCCCACAAATGGCCAATACAATAATGGTATTTTTCTGCCTCACTAAGTTGTGCGATAGAGAGACCAAGCAGAAAGAGAGCGAGACACGTCGAGCGAGCAAGCGAGAGCGAGTAATGCGCAACAGGGAAAATGAAATGAAAAACGCTAAAAAAAATTGATTTAAAGTGAATCAGTATGTGTGTGTGTGCATTGTGTTCGTGGCCCACAAAGAGAGCGAGAAAGAGAGGGCAGTACCCAGACAGCACACAGACAGCTGGAACTCACGAAAGAGCAAGCGAGACAACCATATGTTTAGTAGACAGGCGTGGCCAGCGAAAAAATAGGGGGAAATTTCATATGAATATGATTATGGCCAATTTAAGGCCCAGTATGAAGAAGACGGCTAGCCAGAAGAAGCAAAGAAAGGAGCAGAAAGAGCACAAAGAGAAGAATGTGTATTTGAAGAATGGGTGGAGGAGGAAAGAGGGCGAAGGGAGCGCTGCCTGCAAAAACTGACATTTTATTGATTGTTTTATGCGATTATAATGTAATAATGTCTTAAATATGCAGGGGAATGGGGTCCGAGAACCCCCTTTAAATACACCCACTTTTCCGAGGCAGTTTCAATGCGCAGCTGCCGTCTTTTGAAAATGAATTATGGCTGCAAGAAAGGGATGGAGTATGTCTTTGCGTAAGTGCTAGAGGGGGAAAGAGCGAGAGAGGGGGAGTGACCACCCAAAACCCCCCTTTTCTGGACTCTCCTTCATCATTGCTTTGTGATTGGCAAAAAAGGAAAAAGAAAAATCCATTTACAGCTTCTTCTTTTTTTTTTTTGGGTGCTATCGCCACATGAAGATCTATATAATAAAGCCCGCCCCCCTTCTCCCTCCTCCCCACGAAACCAAACTCGAACTCAAACCATTTCGGCGTAGCCGCACTCAACTCAATTCAATTAATTTTCACTTGATTTTTCCACACACAAACAAATTTTCATTTAATTTGCTGCGGGGCGTTGGTTGGCAGACTTTCCTCTCGCTTTTCCCACTTTTCCCCCGCTTTTCCTCATCGCCTTATCGGACGCCATTTTCTTGCGCTTGATTTTCTATTAAGTTTTCCTTTTCCCTTTTCTATTCCCCGAACAACTTTTCGCTGCTAATAGGGGCACTCAAGCCCCCCGAACCCCCCTTTTCGTACTCCATATCTTACCAGAGTTAGTAGTTGTTGGAAAAGCAAAATTTGTTGAGACACTTTGTTGCGATTTGATTATTATGTAGTGTCATCATTTCCATCTGAGTCTTCCCTTGAATTTCCTTAACATTACGAACTCAATTAAACGATATTGGAAATTGAAATTATGCAAATGGCTTGTAAATACAAATTTTGTTAAGGTACTTAACACAGATACTCGAAAATGCTGATTTCCCAGGATTATAGCATAAAAGACATGGGAAAACAGTTAGCACCAATTCAAGACTTAAATTAAAATGTTTTTTAATAATGCAATTGAAATTTTAATGTTTCCAAAAGGAAACATTTTTAAGTATCAGAACTAGTTATTTAATTTAAAATTTTATATATATAATATATTTTATTATTTTTAGCCTGAAGGATAGGAATTTAATTACGTTTATACTTTTTTAACAACATTAAAAAAAATATTTGTTAGCTAATAAGTAATTTTACTCAAATAATTTTGTTTTTCTTATTTTGTTTATCCTAAATCGGAAAATTTTATGATAGAAACTTTCTATTATTTTACTCCACAAATCGAGTGTAACCAAAATGAATGAAAGATCACCAAGGTCACCCGTTTCGAAAACAAATCAAATGATTTACATTCTAGGTAACTACATTTAAAAATGGATTTTCTGTTTAATTATGGCTTTTCCGCCATTAAAATAAGCCACCTTCCTTTCACCCACTCGGCAGTGGGATAATTTGTTTTTGGCTCTTCGCTTCATTTACTTGGTTTATCAAATTGTTGCAATCGCAAATCAATTATTATTAAAAGCGCATTAAAAACAATAAAAACGTCATTACAAATAAGCACGGGAGGAGCAAAAAACCGGCATAATATAAGCAAATCGAATGAGCGAACGCGGGCCAAATAAACTAAATGAATATTAAGTTTTAATCATTTCACATTCGATTAAGCAAATCAAGTTCGTTTCGGGTTGCGCCGCTTATCGCCGCATATCGACAGACTGTCGACTGTCTCCTGTCCCCTGTGATTTTTATTACACTTTATTATTATTTACCTACTGTCGACTAATTTGTTTTTAATTTGTGCTGATAAAATTTATGAATAAATGAAATGGACAGCGGGCAAATAACGAAATTAATAAGTCACGCCGCGAGAGGGGTCTACGTGGGCGGAATTGGGTGAATTGGGTGAATTGGGTGAATTACGCCCGGTGACAATAACCAAATGCGGGACAATCGCCGGAATTGTGACATTAGTAGCCCGATTGATTTGTCAAATCATAAACATTTATTGAAGTCGCATTTGTCATGGTGGAGTGGAGAATTTTGTTTTTGGGGGCTGGCACATGAAGTTATCGGAATTCGGCCAATTGAACTCACCGATGTGCGCTACCCATAAACAATTTCTATATAAGGCCAAATTATAAAATTAAAAAAAAATATTGCAATGGAAATGTTCAATTTTTATGAAGAAGTTCAAATTTTTAGAGAATGTGTGTTTATATTTTTTTTTATCAAGCTGTTATTCTAAAATTCTGGTGTTTAACAAAATAAAGCATTGCAATTTTGATGAGTCGTTATGCCAAATGTAATTTAAAGACATATTTGCATAACGACTGCAATTCAGATCTTTTAACTTGCTGTTTACACTAGCCAGTTTACTTAGGCTTACAGCTAAAAAAATATATATGCATATATTTTAACATGCCAATAAACATTTCAGTTATAATTTTTTTTATCCAGATAGCAACTTTAGGCTGATTTTATGTTATAATATATTTAATCAATATGTAAGCTATTGCTCATGACTAATAATATCGTTTATTCCAGGCTGTCATCTCCAATCGGTGGGAAATCTTAGGAATGTTAGGTTTGATTTTAACAGAATTTTTTTTGACTATTACTAAAAATATATTTTTTTTTAATTTAAATAATTAAAATAGTAGATACTAGTTTGAAAGCTATTTTTTGTCATTTTGAGGATCAATGTAGAAAGTTATATTTAATTCTTTTTGAATTATGCATCTTTCTGGACCCATGTAACCGCAACTGGCGAAGCTCCCCTACTTTGGCCCCTGTATATCCGGCCGGGGGATCCGATACCCCCACAATTTAACCCCCACTCCAAGCCTTATCGGCGATGTCTGGTCAGGAATAGAGCATATATAGTAGCGGGTGCGGTGGGCTTTGTGTGTGCCTCTAATAACTTCATTAGGTGAGCGTTAGTCATACAAAATGTCACATGACAATGCGGCCAGGGGCGGGGATGTATCGGGAGTAGGGAAAGAGGGATGGGGGGTGCGTTGATTTGTTTTGGGTGATAAGCACTTAAATTAAGTCTTAATACAAATGCCGCTTGTCGCACACGTGTCGCATCGTCATCGAGGTCGAGGGGTCGGTTTCAGATTCCGAATCCAGATTCGGCATACCGCGCATACATCCATGGGTGTGCGGACGAGGGGGTGCAAAGGGGGCCTCGACATTGACGTTGGCTGTGAAATGGACATTTAATTATTTGCTGTGATTAAACAGAATGAGAGCAGACACCCCGCTCCGTGTCACACTTTTCGGGTGTGTGTGTGTGTGTGTGTGTGTGTGTGTCTAATTCCAGGGGCAGGCAGAGGGGGGAGGGTTCTACCAGCTTCGTATTCCAATTATTTATCTTATCAGCCGTATCTTGCAGTTTGTAAATAGTAAAGTCTGCGCTCAAAAACCGCAGACACCCCTCGCAATCGGAGTCCAAATCCGAATCCGAACCCGGATCGGCCTGGAATCAGAATATCTGGTTTTCATAATTCCAAATCCCTGACAATTTGACAGTTGCATCAGTGCTCTCCCCCCCTGGAAAAACCTTATCTTCAGCATCTTTTTGTGTCCTTGTGGCCCTTGTGGAAATGTTTACGTTTCCCAAAGAGCAGGGGGTGTTTTTCGAAACTCGAATCCTTTTTCTTCGCCCCCCTTCCTCTTGTCAAATTAATGAGATTTTGCGTTTTGATTTCTGATGGATCGATTTTGGGCTGGGCCAAAGGGGGTGGGGTGGGGTGTGGTGGGGTGGGAGGTGTTTGGTTTACCTAATCGAAGTGTTAGCAGAAAAGTGGTTAACCTAACCGTCCAATTATACAAATTGCAGGTGACACCTCAGCATATGGGACCCCTGGGGTTGACTTTGCTCCTTAATATGCAAATTTACACTTGCCAAATGGCTGTGTGGTTTTATTGTATTCTCGGGGTTCGGGACAGACGACAATCATAATACAAGTGTTAAAACTCACCCACAAAACAGCAGAAACTGAAACACAAACAGAAACAAACGGAAACAAATAACCAAATAACCGAATAACGCACAACAAAAAAACAAGCTCAAACTCAAATTGACTTCTAAAAGCGGCAAAATCAGCAAAAAATTTGCATTTCAATAAACGATTATCGTAACTTTGCGTACGGTTTTTGGTTACGCTCGCAGATTGCCATTCGGAATGGTTACGGTTACGGATTACGGGCGCTACGAACGCTACGG